GATAGACTTGACCGGCCTCGCTGACCTGTAGCGGCGCGGTTCGCCCGGTTATAGTGTAAATGACTTTCGGAATTGGGAGGCAGCTTAAAAGTGAATAGTTCAGTTCTTTTAGTATGGGATTGTATGTGTGTATGTATCTTTATCGACCCAACAGAGACTTTACTTTTGTCAAGTTTGAATTCTATGCTGTGAAGTGTGAACCGTTAGTTCGGCAGAAAAACTCTTGAACTTGATTTTCTACAAGAACTGCTGTAGGGTCTCTACCATCGCACCATGTGATTTCTTTATTTGCCGTGAATTGTCTCTTCTTTTGCCGAGTCATGCAATGGCGAATGCTGTTGCTCTGGAGTCAATAAACTTTGCAATCCCGACGGAAATCGTCACCGCACTGCACTGTTCATGTATTCGAACGTTTGGGAATCACCGCGGCTCTCCCGGCAATTCAGCGATCGTTCCATTACGACTTTACCTGGCTGGACCCAGGCCACGCCCGTCTCCGGAAGTAGTTTCTCCCCGGACACACCGTATAATCAATCACGGACAGCCGACTGATTAAACACTATATCGCGGCGACAACGACCACGAAGTGGCGGTGTGTGGGGGGGGGCGCTACAATCGCGACATCAAACAAAAGTTGTGTTTCTCGCTACTCGACAATCGCTGCAAATTTTCGGCATCCTTGTATTACGTTATTATAATTCTTTTTCCAAAAAAAGATTTCAAGCCCCTCGATCTCGTACAACGATCTTGTCGTGTCCTTTGTAGTTCTCCTGAAGTTATCTTGGATCCTGTAGTTATCTGTTAGATTGGTTATCTCACAAACTGCTAGGTAGATAACAACCTATCTATATAGCCAAGCAATTAAGCAATAAAAGAGTTTCACAAGAAAACGTCTTCATCTATTTGCCCACCTACAACTTTCATTTTAATCTAACCGAAAACACGCAAATTTTTTCTTGACCCAACAAAACCCATTTCATCCCTGGAAGTTATGTATAACAGATGCATGCTCACCTTGTTCACGTACATACGGCCACGGAAGCTCATGCCTTTTCCGCACGTCTCACTGCATTCAGACCAAGCTGTCCACTCTGTTGTCGCGCAGGCGTCTGCATCGCAGCTCGTACCCTGGTGTTAGAAGGACAGAGGGACAGTATCATACGCAGATCTGGATATTACAGGGTTTCTCATGCGAACAGGAAAACCAGCAACATCACCAACGTCAATTTGTTCTCAGCAAACGAAATCCAAGTAAATGTACTGTCTTGACTGGCTTCGTCCATAAAAGTCTAGAATTACTTGCCCGTCACTTCAATCAATAACACGGATGTTAGTTGTTAACGCGAAAAAATATCTGGCTACATCACAAAACCGCCATAGATGCACCACGCTCAAACCAGCTTTACGCGCTGAAAGCTGCCGAGAAAAGGTAAGTCCTTTAAGTCGAGTAAATCGTGCTTGCCTCATTACACGTCTGTCTTTCCAGCAGATTAACCTCGCATCCCATCATACCGGCACCAACGTCGTCCTCGTACTGCCTGGCTCGAACCTGCATTGCCTGACCACAGGTGGCGCTGCATGGGGTCCAGTCCGACCAGTGGGTCACAGCGCATTTCGGACTCGGCATACTGTGTGCGGATATAATAATAATTCATTCTCTGTTTACGGGACTCTATTTGTTATTATCTGTTCTGTAAACGGGTATATCGAATACGATATACAGGATGTGGTCGGATATAGCATGAGTAGGCCTATGAGCTCTCGATCACCGTGTGTCTGGCAGTGAAACAACTGGAATGCGTCGTTTTAGTTTTTACCGAACACTATAGTCAATTAGTCACGCACGATTTTCTTCTCACAGTTCATTACGGTTTCCATTCATCAATGTGTCTGTTTAAGATGCACACACCGGGTACATCAATGTTCGACATATCGTATTTTACGTAGAACAGTGATATACTGCAACAGAACAATCGGATGCCGAATAACGGCACATAAAAAGCTATAGTCAAGCAAAAAAGCAAGCCAAAACTTATAGTCGGCCATACTACAGGCCAGCCACATTCAAATGTAGCTCTCACAGATGAAGGTTGGTACGTGAAAGATGGTCAGGTTAACCTGTACACACCCACCGATAACAACTAATTTTGCGTATGTACACATACAAAAACCTGCAATCGTAGATAGCAAGAAGTCACACCCGAAAGTATCTACGGCAGACCAAGCATACCTTTAAATTTGGTTCAGAGCAGTTACACATGTAAGCATATTGTACATAACAGTTATACTTGTACATGTATTGAACAGGTAAGACACACGTGTACACACTTTTCACAGTTGAGGTCCGTCATACACGCCGTTTTCTCCATGAGTTCCTTATTGCAGACGCGGGCCATGTCAGGCTTGTAGTATGCGCGCTGCCTAGTTGCCATTCCCTTCCCACAAGTGACGCTACAGTAGGACCAGTCGGACCAAGGAGTTACGGCGCATTTGTCGGAGACAGGCGGCACTGTACGTGAAGCGAGAAATTCACAATATCACATAGAATATCACATTAATACAAAACGCATCCTAGTAAATATTAACAAGCAAGCATAATATTACTACTAATATTAAGAAATTGTTGTGTGTGTGTGTGTGTGTGCGTGCGTTTGTGTGTGCGTGCGTGCGTGCGTGCGTGCGTGCGTTCTCATATATATATAATATATATTATAATATATAACATTATGTGTGTTTTGTGTGTGTGCAATGTGAGCGTGTGCGTACGCGTGCGTGCGAGTGCATTTCAGTTGCTCGTTCGTGCGTACTTACTTCCGTGTGCGCGCTTGTGTCTGTATGTGCGTGCGTGTGAGTGTGCGTAATGCGTACGCGCATGTGTATGGAGTGATCACGTGCGTGCGTGTGTGTGTGCGTGAGTGTGCGTGAAAGAAGAGTGGCGTGTTTTTTGTTCTCCAAGACTGCATCTGACTGCCCAACCATCCGCCCAACCACGCCACTCCGCGTGGTTAGTTCTCTCACGCTCGCACGTACGTACGTTGCTCTCTCGCGACCACGCTGTCAGCAGAAGCTAGCTATCTGAAGCTACCGAGAAGCTGATGTGACGTTTGTTGTGGCTGGCGTTTGAACGCCATCGTATGAACGCCTTCATGCATGTGCGCGCTTCTAAGCGAATCGAGAGAGCGGCTTTTCCACGTCTAGCGTGAGAAGGAATGCAAAAGCTCGCAAGGCGAACACGAAGAGCTCTTGGATAT